GACATCGTTGCTCTTCAGTACTCTTGAGAGGTCCCTCACAGCCGACTTTCCCAATGCAATTCGTCTCCTGATTTCCTGGCTGTTGTTACCAAGAGTGTTGACTGTGGAGCCAAGCAAATTAAAACTGTTAACTATATCAATCTCCTCACCATCTGTGCTGATGCTGCCAATTGGCCCACTGGTTAGAATCTTTGTTTTCTTGACATTTAGCTTCAGTCCATATAGGAGGCTGTAGTCCTTGATATTCTGCAGCAAGTGCCTCAGGTCCTCCTCAGTTTCAGCAAGCAGGGTTGCGTCAATGTACAATTTATTAATTTAACGAATCACTGTTGGGTGCCTGTTATGCATTGTTGCTGTTGAATCCTTACACTGCTTCATTTTAGTGTAGCTGAAATACAGCAAGTTTCTCATCCTCTGAGAACTTTCAAGAACCACAGTTCAGACACAAGCACTATTAAAATATTTGTGATGAAAAAAATGTGGAAAAATTACTTACTGGGGGAAACATTTGAAAAAACATAAAAATATCCTTTTCTTCATCAGACATTCTCTCCTGTCTTGTCTTTTTAATCGATTAGGTTTTTTACAAAACAAATGATAACGTTGGCAGATATGGGAAGGGGCAGGAAAGGAAATATTATATTATTTATATGATAGCTGGCATATTATAATCTGCAAAATGCCTTTAAACAGCCAAACTCATTTAATCCTTTCTTCAATTGTGAATGTGGAGGTTGTGTTTATCCTTCTCACCAAAGTCTTTCTTCCTTCTTCTCTCTCCCCAGCAGAGCATGGGAACGCCCTCTGCGTCCTGTTTCCAGAGCAGTCATTGTCCGATGGTTTCAGGAGGAACAGCTGCCTCGCAGAGCTGGCTTTGAGAGGAATGCTACATCCATCGCCCCCTGGTTCCACGGTTGGGCTACTTTCTGGGGTCTGGGGAAGATGATTTCATGTTATTGTCTTGCCCTGAGGCCAAAGATTATGTTATGAAAGATGATTATAATTGAGAGGGTAGATAAACTTTAGCTCTGATGGCCTGGTGGTAAGGAGTTGTGCTGTCAACCCAAAGACAGGTAGTTTGTATTCACCAGCTGCTCCACAGGAGAAAGTTTAGCAATTTCATTGCATACAATTACCACCTCTGAAAACCTGCTAGAGAGTCAGCTATGAATAGGTACACAGCAATAACAGATATACAAATCACTATTCTGACACTCATGAGGTGACCATGAGTCAGTGTTCACTCAACAGTAACTGTTGTTGTTGTTGTGTGCTATTGAGTCGTTTGTGACTCATAGCTATGTACAAAAGCCCTAAACGCTGTTCTATCATGTGCCAACATCGCTGTCTCAAACACATTCATTCCCACCACTCCACTCACAGAATCAATCCATCTCATCGAGGGTCTTCCTCTCCTGTGCTGTCCCTCCACTCTCCCAAACATGATGTCCCTCTCCAAGGACCTGTCCCTCCTTGCAACATGCCCAAACTATGTCAGACAAAGCTTCAGAATCCTTGACTCCAGGGAACATTCTGGCTTCACCCTCTCCAGGATAAACCTGTTGTTTTGACAGTTAATGGGATATTCAATACTCTTCTCCAACACCACAACTCAAACGCATCAACTCTTTTTTCTGTTATCCTCAGTCATTGTCAAGCCTCAGATGTATGGCAAGTGATGGAAAAGACTATGGCCTGAAAGAGGTACACTTTAGTCTTCAAATTGACATTATTTATCCTTTATAGTTTAGACAGGTTGGAGTTGTGCTGTCAACCCAGTTAGTTTGAATTCACTCAGGAGAAAGTTGAGCAATCTTATCACATACGATTTACTACCTAACAGCAGACTTGCCCAAAGAAATGAATCTCCTGATCTCCTGACTATTTTATCAAAGGTGTTGATTGTAGATCCAAGTAAGATGAAATCATTGACAATTTCAATATTTTCTCTATCCATCATGATATTGTCTATCGGTCAAGTGATGAGGATTTTTGTCTTCTTGATGTTGAGATGCAATCCATATTGAAGACTGTAGTATTTGAACTTCGGCATCAAGTATACCAAGTCCTCCTCAGTTTCTGAAAGCAAAGTTATGTTATATGCAAAATTCAGATTGTTGATGATTCTTCTTTCAATTCTGATACCACACTCTTCTTTATAACATTCAGCTTCTTGTTTGATTTGTTCAGCATACAGCTTAAAAGGCATGGAGAAAGGATATGACCCGGATGCACATCTTTCTGTGTAATATTCCCTTTATGTTTGCTTTTTGGCCTAGGTAAACATTTTGTATGATCACAGTTAAATTTTCTGGGAGTCACATTCTTCTCAGTGTTAGCCATATTTTAATGTGATCCACATAGTCAAATGCTTTTGCATAGTTGATAAAACACAAATATTTTTCTGGTATTCTCTGTCAGCTGATCTATCTGACATCAAGAATGTTATTCCTTGTGCCATGGCCTCTTCTAAATCCTGCTTGAACATCTGTTCTGTCACAGTTCTGTCACTGTACTATTCTAGCCATTTTTGGATGATCTTCAACAGTATTTTGCTTGCATGCAATATTAGTTATATTGTTTGCTAATTTCCACACTCTGTGTATCATCTTTCTTGAGAATGGGAACAATTATGGATATCTTACGATTGGTTAGCCCTGTAGTTGTCCTCCAAATTTTCTGGCATACACTGCTAAGCACATCCAGGGGCACATCTGTTAGTTGAAACTTGTCTATTGGTATCTCATCGATTCCTGGGACCCTATATTTTGCCAGTGCCTTCAATGCAGCTTAAACTTTTTCCTTTATTACCATTGACTCTTGTTCATATACGACTTCCTGAAATTTTTTCAGTGTCAACCAGTTCTTTTTTATATTCTTCCTTCTTTATTTAAATATTTTTAGTGTTTTTTTAAAAAATCTCATATTGATGTTCATACAAAAGTCATATATGTGTTTCATGCTATCATTCACATGTTTCTTGGATCATTCAAGATTTTGCCCATAGTATCTCCCAGTATTGAAACTTGAGGCTTGAATTTATTTTTCAGTGCTTTCAACCTGACAAATGCTCAGTGAGTTTTTGTTCTCCAACTCTAGTTCTTCTCACATTCCATTATAATACTTGCTTTGTCTTCACAAGCTGCCCTTTGAAATCTTCTGTTCATTTCTATTATTTATGCTTTTTTGCCCTTTGTTTTGGCTTCTCAGTACTCTAGAGCCATTTTCAGAATCTATTTTGACACCCATTTCTTACTCTTTTCTCTTTGTAATGGCCTTTGATCTCTTTATGAATGATATCTTTGATGCTGTCCTGTGACAGACCCAATTTTTGATCATTGGTATTCAATGCCTCAAATCTATTTTGGCGATGACTTTTAAATTTACGTGAGATAGACTCAAGGTTTTACTTTGGTGTTTGTGAATTTATTTTTATTTTCTTCAGCTTTTAATTTGAATTTGCACATAAGTAATTGATGGTCTATTTCACAGTCAGCTACTGTACTGGTTTTAACAGCTGATATTGAGCTTCTCCACTGATTCTTATCACAGATATGTTGTTATTGTTGTTGTTATGTGTTGTCAAGTCGCTTGGGACTCATAGCCACTCTATGTACAATAACCCTAAACTCTGCTCTGTCCTGTGCCAATCACACTGTCTCCAACACACCCATCCCGATTACCCCAGTCACTGAATAAATCTACGTTCCCCTCCTGCACTGTCCCTCCACCCTACCAAGCATGATGTCCCTCTCCAAGGACCGGTCCCACCTTATAACATGTCCAAAGTATGTTAGATGGAGCCTCAGAATCCTTGCCTCCAGGGAGCCGCCCGGTTTAACCCTATCCAGGATGAATCTGTTTTTCTAGCAGTCCATGGTACCCTCAATACTCTTCTCCAGCACCATAGCTCAAAGGCATCAATTCTCCTTCTATCCTCCTTGGTCATTGTCCAACTCTCTGATGCTTAACAAGTGATAGCAAAGACCATGGCCTGTATCAGATGTACCTTAGTCTCCAGAAAGACACCATTGCTCTTCAGTACTTTGGAGTGGTCCCTAACAGCAGACATTCCCATTGCAATATGTCTTTTAATTTTCTGGATACTGGTGCCGAGAGTGTTGACTGTGGAGCCAAGCAAACTAAAGAAAGCTGTGAACAATCTTAGTCTCGTCACCATCCAGCCTGATGCTGCGAATTGGTCAAGTGGTGAGAATCTTTGTCTTCTTGACATTGAGCCTCAATCCATATTGGAGGCTTCAGTCCTTGACCCTCTGCAGCAAGCGCTTCAGGTTTTCCTCAGTTTCAGCAAGCACGGTTGTGTTTTCTGCATAACTCAGATTTTTGATAGATCTTCCACCAATCTTGATGCCACATTTCTCCTCATAGAGCCCAGCCCCCTGAATAATCTGTTCTGCATACAGGTTGAAAAGGTATGGAGATAGGACACATCCCTGGAGTATGCCCTTCCCAATTTTGAACCATGCAGTGTTTCCTTGC